TGCTGCTGCAGCTGCGGGTAAGTGAGGCGTGGCACCCCTTTTGCTGCTGCTGCTGCTGCAGCCCTTCGTGACCCCCGGCACCACGGAGGCCCCCGGAGAGGGGCCCCCCCGCAGCTTTGCCTCTGAGGGCCCCAGACTTGGGGCTTTAAGGAACTTAGGCCGATCTTATCTCACTAGGGGCCCCCTTTTTGCAAGAGTTCCGGGGGAAGATGATGATTCCGAGAGAGAAATGCCTGCGGAGGGGGGCCCCCCTGAAGAGGGGGCCCCTGGGGGACTTTTTGGCGAGCAAGAGGGCCCCCCGGGGGCCCCGCCGTCTCCCCCCGGGGAGCTGGAGGCGCAAGAGGGTACTGCTGGGGGGGCTCCTACCCGGGTCCTGGTGGGGGCCCCCGAAGACATGGAAGTGGGGCCTCCGGGGGGCCCCGGACACGGCGCACCTAGCAGCCAGCAGCAGCAAGAGACAAGTGCCACGGGAGCTGAGGGCCCAGAAGAAGGCCTGGGGTCTTTGTGACTGCAGCCTGTCTCCTGGGCCCGCTTGGGGGCCCCACAGGGTGTCCCCTCGGGGTTGCTGCTGCCAAGGGCATGCAAACAGCAGCAAAATTGGGGACTGCAGTCGGGCCCTGCCCCTCTAAACAGGGTTTAGGGGGCCCCAAATGTCAAAAGGGCCCCGGCCACCGACGCAGGGGCCCTTTAAGTGCTGTGGTTTGTGCTGCATGCAACTTAGCCACTGGCACAGAAGGGGCCCCCTTGTAGCTGGGGGGCCCCCTCTGCTGCCGCAGGTCTGTGGGGCTCACGAAATCAAACTTCGAGGGGCCCCCCTCACGAGGTTAAGTTTTTACTGGAGACTTTTGCGTTTCAGTGCTTCTTTGAAAAGCTCCTCAGAAAGAAACTTGTGAATCAAAAACTCTATTCAAATTCGAATTTTGACTACGTTTCGCTGGGGTGTCTGTACACCTGAGTCCGCGTAGCACCCCCAGGGACCCCCAAAGAGATGAACCCCACAGGATTAAATGTAAGGGAAGGGGGGCCCCCTAGAACAATAGAATGTTGCTGGGTCCCGGGCCTCTTCCGGGGGGCCCCCTGGGCCCCTTTGCGCTGCGCCGGCTGCCAAGCCAGCAGCTCGAGAGAGTTGCTGCTGCAGCAGCCCCCTCGCTGAAGTCTGCTGCTTCAACTTGTGGCCAGGAGACGCAGGGGGACACAATTGCTGCTGCTGCTGCTGTTGCTGCTGCTGCTGCAGCGGTGCTGCCGCTGCTTTTACCTTTAACGGCTCTTCGCGGGCCTCTCTGCGCTTCTTGTTGCGTTTCTCTTGCCTCTTTTCTGCAGCATATTTTGCTTCTGTCTTTTTGTCTCTTTGTTGTCTTTGTCTCTTTTTGTCTCTTCTCAATTTGGCGAAAGCCTCTCTGCGTCTCTGGCCCCGCTGGCCCTTGCGTGCTGCTGCTGGGCCCTCAGCGCCTGTCCCCTTGCTGCTGCGTCTCTCCGCTGGCTGTCCCCAGCTGACGCTGCTGGGGGCTCGGCCCCCGCTGCTTCTGCTGCTGCCACTGCTGCTGCTGCCACTGCTGCTGCTGCCACTGCTGCTGCTGGTGCTGCTGCTGCTGCCACTGCTGCTGCTGCTGGTGCTGCTGCTGAGACTGCTGCTGCTGCCACTGCTGCTGCTGCTGCCACTGCTGCTGCTGCTGCTGCTGCTGCACGCCCCTAGAAGACGACGAGGAGGGCGGTGATGTCGTCGATGGCTCCGTCTTCCTCTTCCCACTTCTTGCGGGCCTTGTTGACGAGGGCGCTGCAGCCTCCCGCAGGGTCTCCTTTGAGGACAAAAGGCTTGACAGTCTTGAGGGCTTCTTCGTTGGAGAGAAACTCCCAAACTCCGTCGCTCGCCAGCAGCAAACACCTGTCTCCTTCGCCCACACTAAAAGTCCCCACTTCCGGCTGCGCCACCACCCCCACGTTCGAGGCCAAAGTGTCTCCCAGCGAGCGCGACATCGCCAGGCCCGGCACGTCGTCCGTGCGCAGCCACACCCTGAGCCAGCAGCAGCAGCAAAAGCAGCAGCAGCAGCAGCAGCAGCAGCAAGAGAGGATACGGCAGCAAGGCTGGGAGAATGAGCCGCAGCTAAGCCACACACCAGCAAAGTGAGAGGTGCAGAAACAGCAGCCACGCAAAGGAAGCCACCCAACACGGGGCAGATTGCAGAGACAAACGGGCACAAGCAGCAGCAGCAGCAGCAGCAGTACCAGCAGCAGCAGCAGCAGCAGCAGCAGCAGCAGCAACACCAGCAGCACCAGTAGCACCAAAAACCAGCAGCAGCAGCAGCAGCAGCAGCAGCCAGCGCAACACCACCAGCACTAGCACCATCACCGCCTGCACCAGCAGCACCAGCACCATCACCATCAGCAGCAGCAGCAGCAGCAGCAGCAGGAGACTGGCCGTCGGCAAACCTGAGCGGCCCACAGGGGGACCCGTCTTCCTCCTGGAGGGGTGCGATTCTGCCGCCCGCTGCAACAATGCGTTGTCTCTCTGTCTCCAACTCGGGCTTGTGGTCTGTAGTGAGGGGGACAGCAGTCCAGGGGCCCTCGGGGGAGGGGCCCCTCCCGAGAATGGCTCTGCTGTCTCCGACGTTGGCCACGTAGAGAGTGCGCTCGCGCAGCACGCAGACCACGCAGGTGGTCCCGCTGCAGAGAATGTCAATATTGCCTCTTTTTAGTTCTTGATTGGCGGCCAAAAACCCTGCAGAAAGGGCCTTTTGGAGGTCCCCCTGGGGCCTCCAGCTCTCGCCCACGAGCCGGGGCAGCCTTTGGTTCACGAAGGCCGACACCAAGTGCCCTGAGGGCCCATGGCCATCCAGCACGGAGACCCACAGTGCGTCTTCTTGGGGCCCCCAGCCCTCCACCACTCTGCATGCATCTTGGTTGGTCTTCCGGGTCCCTGGCCCGCAGCTGCCCGCGCGGCTCAGAGATGCATGCGAGGCAAACAGCCGCTTCCGGCGAACTCCGGGGGCCCCGGGGGGCCCCCGCGAGGGGCACCCCCGTGCGGGGGCCCCCCGACGCCCCAACGCGCTCTCGCCTGCCGGGGGTCCCCCAGAGAACGCTGAAGCTGCGGGAAGCAGACATACGGCGAGAGTCGCGAGTCTGAAGCTTTAGACTCTAAGATGTAGTAATTCAATGCTTTTATTTCACTTTCAATGCAGAACTGCTTGTTTGTGCAACTAAGTAGAGCTGGCTCGAAAGAAACAAAGAATTAACCGACAGAAAATCGAAACTTTCCCACTTTTGATGCCTTCGTCTCTGGTCACTGGCTCGTCTTTCTGCACGTTGGGGGCAAGAGTCAGTCTCTTAGCCTGCTGAATCAAAGCATTCAGGGAGGCCCCAGGATCTCCTGGGGCCCCCCCGAAAGGCCTTTGATCAGCCTCGAAGGCACCTCCTGGGTTGCTCATGTTCTTGCGTGCTGCAGTGCCTGCTGCGGGGACCCAGGAACTAGCTCATAGTTTGGCGGGCGGCCCCAGCAGGCTGCTGCTGGCTGCAGCTAGCTGCAGCTAGCTGCAGCCCGCTGCTAGCCCTTCTTGCAAAACTCTTTTTCTCGAAACGCCAGCCGCGTAAGGCCCGGAAATTTGTCAAACGAGCCCCTTCACTTTCCCAGAATAAGTGACTTTGCTGTCCGCAAAGAGAGCCCCGGGCTCTATTGCTCAGTGACAACCTCTTGAGAAACTTCAAAGGCGGAAACAACACCGGCATTCGTTTCAGGCCTGCATTTCGGGGTCTGCAGGGATAAGGCCGGGGCTCTCAGAGGAACTCAGCGGGCGCTGCTGAAGCAGACTAAGAAATAAACCAAAAATGCTGCTCTTAAAGCTACGATTGGGCCCCCAAAAAGGCCAACAATACAAGAGAAAGCTTTGGCTTCGCAATGTTGCAATTAAAAGAGGTACAAATTGATTCGTGGTCAGGGGCTGGCGCCCTGCTTTCTCCCTGTCGGCAGCGATTTAAAACCGCACCCAAGGTCTTCAGGGTTTTCCCTAGGCGGTGGCTGTTTGACGCTAATACAACAAGTTCAGATGTTCACGAATCATTTAAAGTTAATAAAGAGCTCAAAATTTTAATTTTTAGAGGCCATTTGCATGATCGTGTTGCGGCGGTCGGAGCCACAGACCGTGTGGTGACCTCAAATGTCTTCGAGCAGGTGGCTGAAGGCTCTTATGTGCACTTTACATCAAATGTTCAGCTCACATGAACTATAAACGTCAAATAATGAGAGCTAATCATTGTTTATGTCGCTGTTTTGGCTTTAAATAATCGGAGTTGAGCCCTGCGAAAAGGTGAAATGCTGTTTGTGTTCCCAGTCTGGTGATCTCAAAGAGTCTCGTCACCGGCTACTCGTCATGACTGGGTCCTCTGTTTATGCAAACTCATCTTTAAGCTTGTATTCTATAAATTAAATTGAATAGAAAGACAATGAATGGAAAAACCTGAGATGAAGCCCCTGGCATCGTGACGTTTACATGTGTCAGCCGTTGGGGGTTTCGCCTGCAAGTGACCCCAACAGTGGAAGCGGCAGCAAACATGGTGCTGGTCCCAGCCTTCTTGCTTTTGCATTTTCTAAAATGCCATCGAGGCCCCCCCTGCCAGAGTAGCAATGAGGACGTCGAGTAGCAGCCAGTAGCCTGGTTCCCGGTGAATGTGCCTGCGCTAAACAGTGCCGGCTAAAAGCCTACTCAGGTGAGCAAGAGCTACCAGCAATTAATCGAGTTACTTAACCTAAGCGTAACACTACACTGGTTCCCCGAAAATAAAGCAAACGCATTGGCTAAAAGGTCCGCCTTGACCTTCCTGTGGTCGCCGCCACAAGGCCCTCACAGCGGTGGCGATCTCAGGAATACCAGAATTGCTTTTAAACACTTCCTTGTATATCTATCTATCTATCTATAGCCCATTCACCCCGCAATGCTGAATATACCTCCAGGCAAAACCCCAGAGAGCCGGGATACAGAGGGAGTGAAGCCTGCAAACTGCTCCCTCACTACCCCGTTTGTTGCGCCCGAGGTCAGTTCTCTTTGGGGTCATTCCTGATACCCATAACCACAGGACAAATGGAATAAACAGGGAAGCAGATTGCAGAAAGTCAAGCTTTTGGCACTCTGCGTTTTTGCTGGTGGCGCTGGGACGCATTGTGTTGCTCAGAAAAGTTACTAGGAAGCGAAGTGGTGGCAAACAAATGCTACGGAGGCGTAACTACTCCAAAAATACCTAAAGACGAGTACAGATGACCTGCCGCTACACGACCTAGCTTTGACCGAGTCAAGTTCGGATTTCATGAAAAAATTCGGAGCATTCAAAACAAAAATGACGTGGCAGCCGCGCACTCGCACACCTTCCTTCTGGAATATATCAAAGCAAGAAAATCATAACGAAAGCAAGTAGAAAAGTCAAACATCGCATTGCTGAGATTCATTCGGCATATTTTTCGTGTTACGGTTCTATTGCAACTCTTATGGGAAAGTGTTCGGTAAGCTCAAAATGTAATTCTAT